CTGGCCACTTCCAATCGCATGGCAGCAAAATGCACCCAAATGTTCTTCGAAATGATCAAAACAACGTGCTGAAATTTTAACTTTGCATCAGAATGCAGTGACTTCGAACTTTGACTAAACTTTGACAAGACTTTGAATGTGGCATGATGTTTGTACTTGGATTTTCCCACTCAGCTATCTCTAGGGTTATGGTCCCATAAAAGAGAAAATACTGAGTGGCAGTTTTCCAGGTGAAAATACCATGTTGATGCGAGAGGTCAAAGGAGAATGGCCAGACTGGTTAAAGCTCAAAGGAAAGCAACAGCAACTCAAATAACCACTCACTAAAACCAAAGTATGCAGAAAAGCATTTTCTGAATGCACAGTCCAACGAACCTTGAAGCAGATGGGCTACAGCAGCAGAAGACCACACCGAGTCTCACTCCTGTCAGCTAAGAACAGAAAACTGAGGTTATAATTCACAACAAAATTGGACAATAGAAAACTGATGTGATGATTGTCTGCGAAGGTTCTCAGTCATCCAGGTCATGGTAATCTAAGGAAAGAAAAGCGACTGGACTTCTTTAAGATTCAGTAGCAACACTCAGATGGTAGGGACATAATTTGATGTAAACAACATAAACGCATGGATCTATCCTTCATTTCAGCATTGGTTCAGATGTGATGATGTGGGAATATGTTCTTGCACACTTTAAGCTTCTTAGCACTGACTGTGCATCATTTTAAACAGACAACTTTAGCATTGCTAACCTGTCCATCCTTTTATGATCATAGTTTACCCATCTTCTGATGGCTGCTCTCAGCTGGATAACATGCCATGTCACAAAGTTTAAGTCAATTCACTGTAATCCAATAGAGGTCTTTTGAGATATGGGGGAGCAGGAGATTCACATCAATGGATGTGCTGTAACTGTGTGATGCTACCCTGCCATTATAGAACAAAATCTATGAGGAATGCTAAATCCATGCCAAAAAGAATTAAAGCATTTCTGAGCATGGAAAAGTGTACCTAATAAAGTGTCTGGGGAGTGTTCAGTTTGGCTATGCAACCTTTTCTTTTTAAATTTTGGAATGCTTTGACATTTGGGAAAATACGTTACTTTCCGAGTGTAAGATGAGACTATTGATATGACCCCCATTCTTTTTCCACTCCAAGATGAAAAAAGGTCCACTTGCCACAGCATGACAAGAAACATTTTTGACACATAACTTCTTGTATAAGCTCTCTATATTTCCATTTGTAATTTAACGTGAAGTGTAAAAACGTTCAAATACTGGTGTAAAATGTAGTATCATGCTTAGGGTTGCGATATCAAAATGCATGCAAATCTTTCCTGAAAAGCAAGGATGCCTCTGTATTCCAGGTAAATTCTACAGCAATTTCATTAACCAGTTGTTTTCTTTGTAAATGTCTCAGAGGGACATGTATTGTGTGTTTTTAATCAGCAGATTCAGAGAACGCTGTTAAAAATTACATACTTAAATGATCACTTCAGATTTCTGTGCAGGATTGATAATGACAATCGCCATAGGAGTTAACTGAGAACTGAGAGGACCTTTTTACAGTGAGTGGCACATTTTTCAGCCCTTTAAAAATCAGATACAATACTAACAGGAGATCAAGCATTGTGGTATTTTTGTACATTTGACTTTTGTTTGCCGAGGACACATTCGGGGCTGCAAAGTGATGCAATGTATTTCTAAATCGGGCCAAAAATTGAGTCAGATAAAGGATTCCACATCGACAGAGCCAGTGACACTGTGAGAAGTCTTTTCTTCAGCATCTTTCATTGTTTTGGTCATACTCTGTGTAATCATTGCTGCCGTTAGAATTTCACAGTACAGCCTTCGCTACCGTTAAATATGCTATGGGAAATAAGTCTTTTTTGAGAGGTACCTTAAAGGACTTGTGGAGATAAAGTCAGTGGTGTGACTGTAGGCATCACAGGAAGTTGGGTTAATGCTGTCCTTATCCTAAGATAACCTTTCCCCCCCAAAAAATGTCTTTAAGCCCATGGATGAATCAGTATATCAACATTGCAAAAGTCATTATCCTTAAACATCTTGGAAACAGGGTTCAAATCTTTTTAGGCCACCTCGAAACAGCCAAAACACACAATCGCCCTTTATCAGCATTAAGAGATCTTTGATCTAGATGTTGCCTTTCTTTTGAGTGGTGATGATGGTGGTGGGGTTTTCTTTTGCCAATGTTTCTCCACAACATAGTAATTAAATGCTAAAATAATTGACACGAGCAGATTCAGAAGATGTAGGAGGACTGTAGTAGGAAGCAGAAAAAGGGTTTCTCTGAAAATCTTGTTCGCATTCCAGAAAAAATAAAGTCTTGGAGAGATTTTTTTAAAATTATCATCAGAATCCTTGACCAATAAAAATCTGTCACAAACTCAACCTGTGGCAAAGAAAACAACATAAATGCAAGACAAACACAACTGTACATAATTTCTCAACTATTCCAAAATGAAGAAAAGAGAAACAAGACGCACGAGAAGAGAATGTCTTCAAACTTCAAGAAATGTGCAAATCTAACACTTTGTTGGTAAAAAATACAGTGACAGTGAAAGTTCATTGAACATTCAAAGTTAAATATGGTATGCTGACTAGCTGTTTGAACACTCACTCTGTGCCAGCATCAAGATGGGATGATATATGACACATCACACATGATGAGTGGTGCGACATAAGACTGAACTGTTGGTGGTTTTGCACTGCTTAAAATATTGCAACACAAATCTCCTCACAGTGTATCCCACCAATGCCAATTGTGTGGCCAAAAGAGTTTCAGCATCCAAATCACTCTGTTAAGCTAACAAAAATAATTCAATCATAGCATATTAAACATCATTTTAGTAAAAGTTATAATCTTTGCTATCTAATACTATATAATTATACTATATTATAAACATTCTTTTCTACTTTGCTGGTTCTATTCTAGCTCATTGTTTTTTTCAGCAAATTTCGATCCATCAACTTGTGACATGCATTTCAGACGCATGGCCAAAAAGCTATGGAAGCAAATGAAAACAAAAAGATTTATCCTAATTATCTCAGAAATTCAGAGATAATTTGAAACACAAAAATCTACTCTGTTTTTCTAAATTAACAATATAACTTAAAATCCCTAAAGAGTCTTTTTGGACTTGAAAGATTTCACATGCAATAATGGTCCCACTGCAGACATACTTGAAAAGATTGGGAGATACAGTTTTTTTCAGTAGTAAAGATGGCACTGAACCTGTATGGCTCCAGGATACAAGATGACACATCTAAAATTCAATTTGGCTTCTCTGTGGTGACTCAAGACACAAAGACGCTTGTATATCTCAATGTTGCAAAGCTAAACCAAAAGAAAGGTGTATTAAACTAATTGGAAGGGGAGGTCATTACTGCTCATTAAATCAAGCTTTGAAGTCAACAGAGGCTCTTTCAGGATTTTAAGTTCTTTTGTAAATTCAGAAAAACAAGTTTTCTCTGAATTTCTGAGATAATTAGAAGAACTTGTCAAACTTCTTTTTTCTGTATTGATTAAATCCAAGGTAACCAATCTGGGTTAACTTGAATTAAACAGGCTTATCTTACTTTTTTCCTTGTCATATTAATAACAGGTGTCTCAGATGTTGACGTCTTGCCTGCGACATGCAACAATCTATGTATCGCAGTGCTTAACAAATGTATCAGACCACCTGTAACAGAAACAAGGAGCAAATATTTTAGAGTTCTTTCAGAAACTTGTTTGAAACTAAAAATTATACTTTTATTTACGAGAGCAATCCCAAAAGTAAGGTATCCAAAGCTGTGGGGACGTAGAGAAACTGTTCGTACGGCTGTTGGCCACACTGTTGCGATTGGTGCTTTCTCCACCCCCAAATGAGCATGCACGGTTTCGCTGGGATGCTCAATCTTGGCTTGGCAGCCCTTGAAAATGGAGCTCCCTTTGAACGCTACCGCCAAATATGAAGTTCGCGCAGTTATTCAATTTTTGAACTCAAAAGGCATTAAACTGGTTGAAATTCAGCACCAAGTGGTGTAGAAAGTTTACCGCCATAAGAAGAGGTGAAAGATGAGGTTCAATGCTTCCTGAAAGACATGACGGCAAGCTGGTATATCATCAGCATTCTAAAATTGCCACAGTGTCAACAAAAATGCATTAAAAAGAAATGATTCTTCAATGATAAATGATGTAAATATTATAGAAAATAAACAGCTGTTTATATTTGTGAAATAGGAGACCTTACTTTTGGGATTGACCTCGTATTAACCAGTACAGAAACATGAAAGAAAGAATTTTGGTAATCACCAATACTGTTGATTTAGGGCAGCTGTAGCATAAACCTTACAGTGGGTGATGATTTGTTAAATTCGTTAAGCAGTGAAAACTAAAAAAGCCACACTTGTTGTTTTGGTTTTATGTGTAAAAACTGAGTTGTGAATTCAAAACACTTTCACACCTACACACTCTGGGCCACTGCACGAAGTGCCTGTCAGTTTCAGAAGATTGGTGGTGGAAGTAGCTGCTGGTTTCCATGCTGGAAAGTTGCATGCATAAAGGGTGAAGTCATTCACTATTTAAAAAGCACTCTAGTCAAATACAGTATCCCTTTGTCTCAGTCTTTTATGGACTGTCTACACTAAGAGAATATTTAAATTATATTAGCAGTTACGTGTTTACATCTGCTGCTTGAGAAGTACATTTTAGCCTAAAGTCTTGATTTCTTACAGCTAACAATATCTGCATGTTATGTACGGTTGCCATTTTTGCTGACAAAAATCAAAGGTTGAAGGCTGTCTTTATCTCTCTGAAACCACAGAGCCATTGGAGCAAAAATTAGTGCTTTCTGGCTCACAGTCATAGCATAATGGGACACTTGATGGAACTGAGCCATCACAAACCAAATTAGTCTCACCTGTGCTATTTTTGCTCTGGCAAGTCAAAATGTCTGCTATCGAAAAGCTCCAAGTGGTAAATCTACCCTGCTTGTTGTCATGCATAGGTAACTGCACACAGTATATGCTGAAGTAGAGAAAAAGAGGCTTAGTGAGCTGATGAAGTGTCTGTTATTTATTTTTTTACTCACTTTATCTAACATGCAAGCAAATGTAGGTGAGTGTTTCCTTTTACAAAGCTCTGCTTCCTAAAGCAAAAGTTTCTTGTGTTTAAACACATTAAAAAATCCAGCATGACCGTAGGATTCAGTTTTGTCACTATGAGCCTAGCTGCAGCGGGTAAATGTAAACTTGTTGGCTTGACAATCAGACTTTGGAATGCCAAGCGTTTTTGCACTGCTCCTCCTCCAAATTGTCAGATTACTTTTAAACCCTTCTGGCCAGAGTAAATCAACTTTTCAAGGCCTTCGTAGTGATTTCCAATTCATCTTTATTGCCGTAGCTCCTGACTCATGAGCTCTGGGTGTGATTTTCTGAGGTGCCGGTTGGATTAGGGAGCTTAGTGCTTACGCCAGCTGAAGGTGATCATGATATCTGCTTCATGAAACAAATACGAGGGTGGCATTTCTGTCCGTTGTTCCAAGACCATGAATCCAAGACAGACTACTGAAGAACCCCACTGCTTCTGGGAGTGATGTGAATTTTGAGTCAATATTTTACTAATATATAAATATTTTTTCTTCATAGTTAGCGAATCAATACCCTAAGACTGTATATACGTGCAAATTATGATTTTATGACTTTTTTACAATATCTTTTATATTTGAAAAAAACATTTTTGTGACTTTTGTGACATTTTCCTCCTTGTAGTCCATTACAGATCATCAAAGATCAGTACCTTCCTATGAGGCTTCGACAGAGCAAAGTGAACAAAAGACAAAACTGACAGGAAAATGAGAGAAGTGTATTACAGACAACAGAGGAGAGCCGAATTGGTGTGTGGGATGAATAATACATTTGTCTCAATCCTTCCAATCCTGTAAGTTTTCAAAATGACAGTGATCAAAGTTGAGTCTGGAAGGGATGGTATTAAGGGGGAGATTAAAATGGTTGAGAGAGTGTAAAAGAGAACACCAGAGGGGGATAGAGAATATTTCTGTCTCTTGTCAGATTCTGTCATGACTTGTTTTACATTTACACTTTGCCTCTTTATCCCTCAGCTCCTCTCCTGGCAATACAAATAGGTTTGATAATTCGGTGTGGAAACAGCTGCCACAGCCTAATGCAAGTTCTGTCGAGGCAGCATACTGCGGTGCATTTATAAAAGGTCCATAACCCACCATTTCTTTTTCTTTTTTTTTCTGAAGTGCATTGTAAAAAAAACAAACAAAAAAAAATGGGAAAAAAAAGAACAAGTGATGCTAAAAAAAATCGGTATCATCTGTCTTCCATCATTTTAAACAAGCTCATGCTCACGGACATGAAAACACATCTCTCCGTACTTACTCTGAAACACACGCACACATGCACACAAAAAGCCACAACAGATGCCTCGTCTCTGGTGTATTGTATTTGTACGATAACGGGCTGGTGTGGGCGTCTGCAAAACAGCTCAGTTTGCACCTGAGTCAAAATCCATCTTTGCTGTAGTCGCCAACAGCACAGGGGAAAAGGAGCTGAGTAGGACACATCACACCAAGCCCACTCTCTCTGTAGAATAGTGAGCCTGTTCGCCTGATGCTCGCTTTATCTGCTCCCTTCCATTTCATGTTTGGTTTAAGATCAGTAAGTGACTGTTGCCCTCCTTTGCCAAAACTATTGCTTTTAGAGGATGGGCAGTGAAGAATTATTATTTTTATTTTTTTTTAGTTATGAGAAGCCAAATGTGATTCACAGCTGAAATTTGGGACTAAAGAATCATTTGAAATGCTAATGCTCTGAGTATGCCTTTTGTTTTGGGTTTTTTTCTTTTCTTTTTGGGCCTTTAAGCAAGAAAACTAGAATAAATAGATTTTAATGTGGGAACCGCTTAAGTCAGTATCGAACACATTACCCCGCATTTAACTTGTTAAAGAAAAGGAAAGAAAAAAGGACACTATCCAAGAAACTAGCCACGAGGAATGCTTTTGAAAGCTGCAGTGAACAGCTCTTATAGAGGATAGCAGAATTCATAAAACCTGCCACCTTTTGTCCATCCCTGTGTTGGATGTACGCTTGAGGAAAATGACTGCATACTCGAAGGGCACCAAATAATTGTGGTGCTTCAGGCACAGCCAGTAGGACTGAAATAAAACAAGTGCTCTCTCACAATCCATGCTTGCTAAAAATAATCCTGTTCAGACGAGGGTGGCAGATTCTCGGCTGCATCCTCTGCTCTGTGGCTGTGGAGGCAACTGTTTGATAAGTGTAGAGCTATGAGAAAGAGATTGTACATAACGGTGTGCCTCTGTTCCACTGCACGCACATAAAGGTTTTTGATCCAGCACACAATCCGGTCATTTGTCCTGAATATGACTTAAACTCACAAAGGCAATTTGCGAGCAATGCTTGGATTATTTCAAACAAGTATGCAAGGCGCGTGAACCACAATCCACACAAGCAATCGCTCTGTACTGCACTAGTTTTGAAGGTTAACGTTCAAATACTTCTATCTGCACATTGGCAATTAATGACGCATTTTAAACACTTCATAATGAGGGTTTCCCCGTGAAACACTTGTTACCTAGCAACTGCAACCGGAATACATTACATCTGCATGTTCCCACAACTTAACATGTTTTAATGTAAACCTAGATTCATTTTGCACACCGCGTGATTTCTATAGGAAAGACGTGCTGACTGATGATGATTTCTCTCCATTTTGAGCAGCAGGAGTAAAAACCAGGAGAAGACTGAAGGGTGGTTTCACTTGACTGAGCAAAGTCTCTGCCCTGCTGTTGGTCATTCACTTCATCATTGTCTTTTCTTTGCCATTGCAGTGTCTGCTGTGGCTCTGGGATGAATATTTCAGGAGACTACACTATGTTCCATTTGTTACTTTGGTTGTAAACAGTGTTGGACTCCTCCCCAGGTAGCATGGTGTTTACATGCTGCCAAAAAACTCTGTTCACTTTACACAAACACTAGGCTGTTTGCTAATATGCTATTACCGTACGATTTATGCATCTGAACTGAGTTGGTTCACCTATTTTCCACTCTAAAATGTGTTCATTTTAAATAAACATGCAGGAATAAAATCACTGTTAAAGAAATCTAGCCTGCATTGTAAAGAAACTAAGCACTTATATAACAATAAATGTTAGATTCGTGTCTCTTCAGGGTAATTTTAAAGCAGACTCTCCTTTAAAAATACATTATTAATCCATGCCAGATGTTTGAATCTGATGAAAACGCCAGTTATGAGACGTTGAACAGCCATGTGTTTATTGGCTATATAAATTTGTTAGACATAGCCCTGCATGTAATTCATAATGCACTTTACTCCCATGCATTTTTGATGCTATAGAAAAATGGAGCAGGCTTACAGCCTCCACTTTCTTTCACCACAGGAGCCGAACCACCCGTCGGCTTTCAGCCTCAGGAAGCTGATTGGACTAAATGTTGCAGAATGAAGAACTATTTTCTCTCCCCCCCCCCTCTGTCTTCCTTTTTGTCAGGGTCATGTAAGCACACAAGAGCTTAATTTTCTTGCCCAATTGTTATTTTGAAGGACCGGTAAGATCAATAGGTGACAAGAGGAAGGACAATAAAGATTAACATGAGCTGAGGAAGGTAAGGCCACTTTAAGTGATGCGTGAGGGCCATGAAAAGGAAAACATGCCTTTCAGCTTGACTTCAGATAAATTAACTAATGACTTATGGAGTAAGAGGAATAGAAAGCTCACAGTAGATATAGAAGAGGACAAGATGTTTTCATCTCTTTACATCCCGACAAGTGATTGACTGACTTGCCTGTCAATTATAAACTAAATCTCCTGCGGGGGGTAATAGCTGTAGAAAAACAAATCCTAACTGATTTACTCAAACGTACATTTGACCTTTCTTTCGGTTTCCCTGCATTTCATTTTTAAAGTCATACTGAAAGTAATAGAATGGAGAAACAGTCTTAATTAGGGTATAATGGGGAGGACACTACCTGGAGGCAATGAAGCTGAAAGTTGGTGAATTTGATAGCTTTAACAAGATTGCATTTAAAAGTTACGTTCAGTTATGGGCTGCTTTTCAGACACAATAAATCATTCACCGACTGTAATGAACGATGGAGTCAAAAAATAATAAAAATAAAACAATAACAAAACTTTGCTGTGAAAAATAATCCTATGCTACAGAACTAATGACCATCATGGTTTGGTGGTACTGCCTTGCCATTTAAACTAATGATCACTAAGAAAAAAAGATAGAAGTAACCTGTGCAGAGAAAACATGACTGGGCCATTAGGTCTGAACTGTGATTTATGGACAGCAGTGAGCTAAAGCAAACTGTGGATAGCAAAAAGGTCAACAAAAATCAGGACTTCTAGTGAAAGAAGTCATAAATGCATAACAATTTGAAAACACACACCTCTCACTGCAGACAAAAGTCTGTTATTACTTTTTAAAAATGGTTTATAACCTCTGTACTTTGAGGAAATATACTGCAAAGTGCCCTGCCACCTCTTATTTAAACTGACAGGTAGGTCTGAGGGCAACTGTCCCCTCAAGGACAAACATCCGGCATCTGGACCTGGAAAGCTAAGCTGCTGTAAAAGGAGAATGTCACACACAGCAACAGCTTGTTTACAAAGGTAAACTAAAGATCATCATAGCGAGAGGAGGAATAAAACTAGAGGGAATTGGTTTGAGAATGAGCTTTTTGCTGTTACGATTTGTACACGGTGTTCTTTCATAGTTTTGCATTTTCAATCTGTTCAAAGCATCTCTTAAAAAAATCTGTTATTCCAAGGTTTTTGACATCCAAAAACAACAACAACAACAACAACAACAAATCACTCCAATATAGAAACTAAAACTTTTCCCACAACGATTTAGAAGTTTTCAAAGCTGTTGAGGCTTTGCTGTGTCATCAGTTGGGGGAATTATTCATTCTGGCTCAGCTCAAAATATGCTTACCATCTGTTCCATTTTATTCCAGTGCCTGGCTCATGGCTCATGTTTAATGTATCTGTGATAATAGCATCATCCATGTACAGCACAATGGCCTGCTCTACATCAGGAAATCAGTGAAAGCAATCAAAAGGGAGACCTTGGCTGCATGAATGCTTTCAAAACGACCTTTTATCTGAATAAACTGCTTCATTGCCGGTGAAACGGACAATGCCCATACATAATCGACCTTCTGAAATATACATTGCCTTGAAAAGTATGAAATACACAGAGTTATATATCAGTAAGATGACCACACTACAGCAGTATTAAGATCTATTTAAATCTTTAGCCTGCGAGGTTAAGTTTGATTGACGTTAATAAGATCATTCCCTTGAGTAATATATGGGGGACATATGGAAGTGGAATATCTAATGGCCCTTCCAGGCACATTTGCTTATACATATACTGTATAAGACATGCACATACACACAAACACCTACACACATGCTGCACTTTAAATATATGTACACATACACAATTAAGAACACAGAAGCGACTGAAATTACATGTGTAGGTTTCCCAAACACTAACATTCTACTGACCAACTCAGTGATTAGAAAATTAAATCCTTAAGGGATGTGCATATACGCTAAGATAAACCGTGCAACAGGAAAGACACGCATTTTCAACAAAGTTTGTGGCATTACAGTACTTGAATTTGCCTTGAATTGAACTGAATACAAATGTTACTGTACATACAAGAGGTCAAGCAGCACACCACTAAAGATCAGTGCCCTTGAGTCACGTTTTTCTTATGGTAATTTCCGTCTCTGCGCAACACACAGCAGACTGTTAGTTACACCCAGCATGTCGCAGTCATGCTGTAAGCCTAATACCCATGAATACTAACTTTGCTTATATTAGTGGCAGTATGGAAAAACAACATTTCATTAAAAAAAAAAGTTTTCAACAATATGACACCAGGCATTTTTTCTTTGCATTATAAGTATTGTAAACAAACAAACAAGAAAAAAAAGACAATAAAAAGGTCATTCTGAGTCTTCCAGCCAGAGTGGATACAATCTGCAAAACAAGGCAAAAAAGCAGCAAATCCTCACAGGCATTATCTGCCTGCGCTTTGTTTGTTTGCATACAGCTAATTAGTTCAGTTATGTTTTTGTTTCCTTGGACTATCGCTGTCACATTCTGTTTTAAATGTGCTCGCACATCCTTCACCTGC